AAAAAAAAAAAAAGCTGAAAGTTGTTCATCTCTGTCATTGATTCAACTTCTTTCCCATCTCTCAACTCTTAAAAGTCCTGCCATTTATCTGGTAGGAAGGAACTTCATGGCCATGGATATGAGCTGTCCAAACACTCAGAAAAAAAGAATCTTGACTTTCTTCTTTTCTTTGACCTTCTTCACTCTATTTCAGTCAATATTACCACAGCCCCACCCTAATCCTTTTCATCACTCTGAAATGTGAAACATAAACATTTCACTCTCCACCCACAACCACCAGTACCCCAACTGCCCCACTGCCTCACTGCCAATGGCCTGAGGCAGATACTGGCCACGGTCTTTGGTTAAGTTTCCAAAGAGTGAAAAAACTGTAGAAGATCAAGTCTCCCTCCTATCAAAAGACGATTTTTCTAACATTTTGAAATCTTTTGTTACATGTTTACACGGAAGTATTTTAAGAAACACAAGAGATTACAAGCAATTTGTCTAATGTTTCATAAAGAATAACAGGTGGGGGCCTGGCAGTCCAAAGTGGTGGTAACAGCATGAAATTGACAGTCACAGCCAGGCGTGGTGGCTCATGCCTGTAATCCCAGCACTTTGGGAGGTCAAGGTAGGCGGATCACCTGAGGTCAGGAGTTTGAGACCAGCCTGACCAACATAGTGAAACCCCGTCTCTACTAAAAATACAAAAATTAGCTGGGCATGGTGGTGGGCACCTGTAATCCTAGCTAACTGGGAGGCTGAGGCTGGAGAATCAGTTGAACCCAAGAGGAAGAAGTTGCAGTGAGCTGAGATTGTGCCATTGCACTCCAACCTGGGCAACAAGAGCAAAAGAGCAAAACTCCATCTCAAAGAAAAAGGAAGGAAGCAAGGAAGGAAGGAAAAGAGAGAGAGAAAAGGAAAAAAGAGAAAAAGAGAAGAAAAAGAGAGAAAGAGAAAGAAAGAAAGAAAAAAAGAGAGAGGGAGAGAAAAGAAAATTACAGTCACACAAGCCCATACTAAGACCCTCACTAGCTGGGGAATGCAAAAGCAAGTCACTTAAGACAGACTTTGGGGGCCTTACCTAACTCATTTGCAACAAAGAGATGATAAAGCCACCCTCACAGTCTTGCAATGAGGAGTTTAACTACGATTATGCTCATAAAAGGCTTCCCACAGTTCTGGGTTTTTTCAAGCAGATAAATGGAGCTGGGCTAGGGCTGTTTTAAACCAAACACAGACGGGCACAGGAAAATATCAGATGTTCATGTGTATACAACATGGCCCACAAACCTGCATGCAGACATCAGAATGCACACGTGAAAGCATCCACAGGTTTATATGCAGTCACTGAGCTGTGAATGCGTGCACACAAATATGAATATGCAGCACACATCTTGTTTTACACAGAGATGCACATTGTGGACATCCCCTAAATCATGTGTGCCCACATGCTATATGCAGAGACAAGCATTGGCAAGCATTGAGAAACAGTGGCACACCCTGTCAGGCATACACACACATGTGCATGTGCAGACATATGTTGGAATGGATACCCACAAAGCACCCCTGCTGCACACATGAATTCATGTTCCAGCATGAACATACGGAAGCACACATGCACATAGACACTATAAGCGTGCACCCAGAATGACACACAGACAGCCGTAGAAACGAGGATAAACACAGCAGAGGCATCCAGGAGAACCCACTGGACAAAATGGCACAAAATACATAGATGCAGGAGTACACGGGGTGACGGAGGGGAACACTGACTTGCTGGGAAGGAGAAAGAGAAAGAAAGATGGGATCCGAGACAAGGGTAGGCAGACAGGTGGGCAAAGTCCTACGCAGGGCTCCAGGGCCATCCGGAACAACCAGAGGGTCTAACGCTGGCGTGTCCTGCAGATGCTGCCCAACTCAGCACCACGTCCAGGAGGCCACGAAGGATTCATTTCCTATTCACAGCTCCACGGGGTAAAGCTTAGCTGTGCTGAGGAAGGGTTGGGGAAAGAGGTTCCCGAAGACTCGGTCCCTTTCCTCCTTCCCAAAGGAAAGGATTTGGGAGCTTTTGACTAGAGAATGTAAAAGCAAAGAAGGTGCTTAGAGAACATCTCATCCATCCTCATCCTACAGATTAAAAAGAACTACGAATAGTCACTGAGCGCTTACTGCCATGTACCTCAACTGCATTAACACATACACTTCTCCCATAAATAGCTGAAGAGGTAGGAGCTGTTCTTGGTTCCCTAGGCCTCAGAGAGATGAAGTCAGCTGTTCAAGGCCACAAAACAAAGAAGGGATAAGGTTAGGATTCCAATCCATGCCTCAATCACTGTACGACATCCGTCCAGAAAGGGAAACTGAGGCCCAGCAAAGGAAAGGAAACTTTCTGGGTTCGCCGCTAACTCACTCTGAAAACCTGTCCCTCCTCCCAGAAACTCACAAGTCCCTGCCACGTGTTTTCAGACCCTATATTGATTATGGCTAAAATCGACTGACCTCTATGTCCCCAAACACTAGAATTTTCCCAACCTGAGTCTCCCCAACCCCTCCCTGCCCAGGTCATGGCAGCCTGTCCAAACACTCTGTGCCCTCCCTATTGCTAACCTCACTGAGAAACAAACTCCCCAGATTTCTATCTGCCACCTTTTTAAGAAACAAGAAGGAAAAGGTGGGGCCCGGGCTCGCGGCCAGCCCAGGTGCAGGCTGTTGATCAGGATTAGAGGGATTGCTATCTGCCAAGCCAGCGCTAATACTCCTTTGCACCTGCCCCCTCCAATATCAACAAACAGCTGTCCTCTCTCTGCTTTGTTCTCTGCCCTTTGTTCCCTCCACACAGGTCTCAGAAGCTCAGCAGCCTAGAACACTGTGAGCAAAGAAGGTGCTTAGGGAACATCTCATCCATCCTCATCCTACAGATTAAAAAGAACTACTAATATTCATTAAACACTTACTGCCATGTACCTCATCTGCATTAACACATATACTTCTACCCTAAATGGTCCTGGGGGTTCCAACCTTACCCACCTCCACTTGTTCAAAGTTGGTGACCCAGAGGAGAGGTGCAACCCTGGAATGGTCCAACCATCAGAGCCTGCCCAGTGCCCATCTGGGGACCCTCCCGGGGTCTGGCTGAGTCTCATCTCAGTGCCACACAGGACCAGTCTTAGCACCTGCCTAATGCCCATGTCAGAGCCCACTGGGACCAACCTCAGACCGTATATGGTGCCACTCTGATGTCCTCCTGAAGCAGGACACTCTTATTCCCTCAGTGACACCTAACACAACACACAGAAGCCTCTTGGCACCAGACACGACTTTAGTATTCTCCTGGTGTCAAGTTCAGTGCCACCTTGTTGCCATCCTCACATATACCCAGGTGCAATCCCAAAGCCACACAATGCCTCTCCCTCCCTGGCCCTACCTGAGGCTGATATCAGAACCGCCAGTGTCATTCCTGTGTCCACTGCTGACGCCAATCTCAGCACCCACCTCCTGCTAAGCCTGGCCCGCACTTGACTCCCAGGGTGATCTAGGCCAGTCATTGTAGGGGGACAAGGACAGAGTTCAAATCCTGACTCCCTCACTTACTCCCTGTGTGACCTCACTCAAGAGGCTTTATGGAGTCTAGATCTGCTCATCTTCAAAATGAGAATGATGATGAGCCAACGGCATTGTTACAAAGATTCGACCAGATCGTACACACCTAGACTTAATCTTTCCATATAGGGCAGGGCTCACCACAGGGCAACTGTCCTGTTTACTAAGGACAGTTAGTTAAGAATTTCCCTGAGGGGCCAGGCGCGGTGGCTCAAGCCTGCAATCCCAGCACTTTGGGAGGCCGAGGCGGGTGGATCACGAAGTCAAGAGATCGAGACCATCCTGGTCAACATGGTGAAACCCCGTCTCTACTAAAAATACAAAAAAATTAGCTGGGCATGGTGGCATGTGCCTGTAATTCCAGCTACTCAGGAGGCT